AATTCTGTGGGATGGGTTTGAAAACAGACACTACTCCTTGGTTACTTGTTTTTCTTCCCTCGGTTTCCATGCAGGATGTTGAAATGCCCATCGGGGCGAGATATCCTTGAATAGAAATGTAGACCTTTGCATTGATCTTTTGCCTTTTTGACAGGCAAATGTGATTTCCAATTTGAGTCTGATGCAATGCTGACCTTAATTTCAGCAGTAGGAAAGAAAACCTGCATCCTTTACTTCAGTAGAAAATAAGCACACGATCTTCCAGAGGCATTTTGGTGTTTAGAAGGCTCCTGATCTGGTCACCTTTGTCACCTTTTTGTTCTGCCCATATCAAAAAAATATCAATACATAACCCAAACTAATAGAAATTGTAATTTGCAAATGTTTTCAGCAGCTTTCACCTTGGGAAGTCAATGACTTTTGTTTTCTTTTCACCCAGCTTGGGAGTTATGTACCATTTTCACAGTGGTACATGGTCAGCTCCTAAGGAATTTCCCAGGACTGTCTCCCCAGAAATGACACAGAAGTGCTTTCCACACATGAAGATGTAGCACCATTTCCCCTCTCATTAACTCTTCTCTTGTCGTCTTATTCTGATTGATTAGGGATCAAATCTAAACCCAGGTAGGAGGAAAAAAAAGCCACAGATGGCTTCCCAAATCCAATTAACCCTGAATTCATAAATCCCACTGTCCACCCATGGCATCTCTAGTGCAGCACATATGAGGTTTGGGGTTCTTACAGAATCAATTAATCAATTAATTAGTATAACAAAGTACTTGAGTGCTTCCCTGAGTGTTTTTAATGGGATCAGTAATAGACTATTTTCAATTTCTTGGGACAATAAAGCTTGCTGATGAGCACTGAAGTCCTGCAACTCCCAGAGTAGCAACAAGCCAAACATTTTGGTTCAAAAATATGAGCACAGGATACAATTCCCTCTTAAACTTTTTAATACCTGGATAAATTCTTTTTTTCTAGAGGGTTTTAATTAGGAACCCTTAATCCTGGTATCAACACAGGATGGGGTTTGTGCCATTGGCAAAATTTATGTACATTTTCTCTGTCTTATATGTCTTGTAGTAATGATCTTTTGGGGGTGTAGCAGGTAGTGATCTAAACATTCTGAATGGCTGGAAAATTCAGTAGGAGCTACTCATATTTATTATTTGGGTTTGTGAATGAAGGCATTTTCCAAATGGGGAGCATATGGCAATGCTCAGAGACTGTCTCTTATCATTTGTATTATATTATGTATTATGTAGTATTTTTTTCCTGCAAATCAAAGAACTAAAAATATGCCCATTTCTGATCTGGCTACTGAGTTTCATTCAGTGGTTCATTTGAGTAATGTGGCTTTTTTTTATATAGGTTCTGACTATCTAAGCTGTACAGTACAAAGAAGAAAAAAAGCACAGACTTTCTTTCTGTAGATTTCCATTGCCAGGCAGTATCACCTCTGTCTAGAAAAAAAAACCAAACCAAACCAAACAAACAAACAAAAAAAAAAAAAAAAAAAAAAAAAAAAAAGAGAAAAAAAGAAAAAAAAAGGGGAAAGAGAACAAAGCAGAGAAAATTCTCCAGCTGGGAGAGCAGATCACTATGTCAGGGCCATCTCCAGGTCTTTCTATGCCCTACTGAAATGTAACATCACAGCTTGACATGTTTTTTTTCTTTCTTCCTTTGCAAGGATCCCTTAGAATGCTTTAAATGTCCCTTGTTCTGGAGTGGGTGTCTCTGGAGCCAGGGCTGGGAAGGCACTTGAGAAATAGTGATACACAACAGAGAGGTCATGGGAGTTACAGCTCCTGGGGAAAATAAGGCTTGTGGGTATCAGTCAAAGAAATCAGTGCTGAAGAGGGAAAGAAATTAATATTTAGGAACCATCTAGAAGGAAACCATTGTAAATCCCCAACCTACTGGAGTAGAAAGAGCTCAGGAATTAATATGCTTTTTCTACGTGGGGAGATTTTGAGAACGACATTTTTGTTCCCAGTTTGCATTTGAAAGGCACGAATGAGAAATTCTGGTGAGCTGGGAGGATCAGAGAGTTGAAATGAAATTTTAGAAGGGTTGCCAAAGACACAGAATGGGATTGAACATTAGGCTTTCTGTGTGATGTTGACAGCAGCTCAAATGCTACTCCTTGGTTCAGTTGCAGTGAAGGTTAAAGCAGAACGTATTAAAACCAGCAACAGCTGGCATTTTTAGCTAAATCCATAGCTAATTTTTTGAAAAAACCTCTCTCCAGGTGACAGTTTAGTCAGTTAACTTTTATTCTGTAGTCTCTTTTATTTTTTCCCATTTTACTGCAGATGGAAATCAGACATCCAAGGAAAGGCAATTCCTTTCTGAAATGCATAAAATGAGCATACCCCTCCAGTGACTTCACTCATCTCAAAACAAGCATCTGAGAAGAGTCAGAAGAAACATCTTCTACAAGTTCCCATTGATTTCTAGTCACTGAACCTGAAATCCACATGTTCACTTCAGGCTTTCATACACAGCTTTTAAATACCCAAAGCCAAGTGAGATACCTCCTCCCCACTCTTTAACACATCCTGTGATTTCCCTTTCATTACACTGTACCCACAGGTGCTTCATAGGGCAAACTTTTCAAAAGTATAATTTAAAGTTATGGCTGCAGTTTGTAAAACAATGTTAATAAATATTATGCCTAGTTCCATATTCTAGAAACACAGCAGCAGCCAGAGGACACTGTAACAATCCCTAAAATGTGATTAGCCATGTCTTAGAAACATTAGAGTTCTCTAACAACCCTTTATTTAAGGAACCATCTTAAAGGTGGCCTTTTTTCATTAAACCCTCATTGAAACAAATAGACTTGGCTAATTAAAATTAGCAGCAATAATAGTGAAAGCTCCTGCTGATTCACCCAGGAGAGTGATTAGAGATGTCAGTAATTCCACCTTGGGGTCACTGGTGCAAACCCAGCCCGGTCTGCAGAGATTTCCAGCCGCTCCAGATTAAATGTTTATTTGTTTATCTAGTGAATTATGAATCTTGGGTTTGTTTCTGCTGAACAGATGTCCCAAAACCCCTCAAACCCAGCCCTACACGAGGTAACAGCTGTCACTTTTATTAGTGATCCTGTGAGGAGAGAAATAAAGCAGGACATATGTTTACACTGGATGGACTATTCCTCCCTCAGGGTCAGACTAAAACATTGCTACAGGTCAAATGTGAAGTTCAGTATGTGAAGAGATCTGTAAATCCTAGACAAATTACTTAAAAATATTATTTCAGCCCTTTATTTTACAGAGGTCTAGTTAGATAGGGCTTTTTTATTTTATATATATATATATATTTATTTGCTTTTCTAAAGCCTGCATTATTTTTTATTAAAAAAAATATTTTCCATTAGAAAAAAAAATATTTTCCATTAACAGGCAACAGTTTAATTAAGATCTGGAATAGATCCTATTAAGTTAATCTTGTTGGTGAGGAGAGACATGATCACACACTGGCCTGAGGCACAAGGGTCAAGTGAAGAGTAAAGTCATGACCCCAAAATTTAGCACAGCAAAATTCCAGCTGTTCAAGGAATTAATCAACAGGATCCCCTGGGAAACTGTCCTCAGGGACAAGGGAGAAGAACAGAAGTGGCAGATGTTTAAGGATGTTTTCTACAGAGCACAACAGTAAGAAATAGGGCAAGGAAGGCAAGAGAAGGGCATGGCTGAGTCAGGACCTGCTGGTCAAACTAAAGGGCAAGAATGGAATGCACAGGCAGTGAAAAAAGGGACAGGGATCCTGGGAAGGGTGTAGGGATGCTGCCTGGTTGTGCAGGGATAACTTCTATTTTGCAGTCTCTTTTATTTTTTCCCATTTCACTGCAGATGGAAATCAGACATCAAACTCCAGAGACAAACTCCTCTTTAAATTCATAGAAAACGAGCAGTCCCCTCCAGTGACTTTACCCATTTCAAAACAAGCATCTGAGAGGGGTCAGAGAAAGCACCTTCTACAAGTACCCACCGATTTCTATTCACTGAACCTGAAATCCATGTGATCACTTTTGACTTTCACGTATAACTTTTAAATATCCACAGTGAGACACCTCCTCCCCACCCTTTAAGATTAACTCATCCTGTGATTTCCCTGTTGTTACACTGTGCCCACAGGTGCTTCAAAGGACAAACTTTTTAAAAGTATAATTTGAAGTTGTTGCTGAAGCTTGTAAAAAATGTGCAGGGATGGGGCCAGGAAGCCCAAGGCAGATCTGTGCCTGGATGAGCTGAAATGGATGTATCTAAAAGTGAGGATTTCAGCATTCCTGGAGCTGTGCAGGAAACACTGCCTCCCAAAAACTGTGCTCTGTGTGTGGCCATGCAGAGAAGACAGATTTTGGATTCCAGACTATTAATTGGAAAAATGATCGTTGGGAAAAAGGATCCTGGGGGACTTTGATGAACTTGTTCCTCAAAGGACAGTGCTAATTAAGTGGTCTGCAGCAGGCTGGGTGGGTGCTGGGAGCAAATGGACAAATCTGTGTTAATTATCAGGAGCACAAGGATGTTTCTACCTCATTTCTACAGACCACAAAAAAGCGTGATAGACCTTCTGCATCTCTCCAGAAATCTTTAATTCCCACTGACTGCTCCCTGGACCCCCAGCTTGGGAGCTCCTCACACTGGTGAGTTAAAGCCTCGTGTTCTCCTTAAGCACGAGCAGAACCTGCTCTGAGTTTTAATTATTTACTAAAATAAGTTCAAATTGTTTTATCCAAGACCCAAACACAGATTCAGGTCTCATTGAGTTTAGTGAACATTCTCTTTAGAAGTTACATTTGGTGATATTTTCATGTTGTATAATCTTTTTTCAAACATTCCCTCCCATCCCTGTGCACACACACTCACATCTACACAAAAATATCCTGCTTTTCTATTTTCTTAACCAAAGCCCAACGGCAGGTTTTTTTAATTTCCATTTATACTGAGGATCTAAATAAGGCAGAGAACAAAGAGAAAGTACTTTACCATCTTCAGGGATGATAAATCTGAACAGTGCAGGACACTTGACAAAGACAATTTCCCCCACACTTGCAGGTTTCCAGCATGTAATGTTGTCCCACATTCCTGGGCAACCTAGAGGAGAGAAGGAGGGATAAAATACATTAGTGGTGGAAATCCATTCCTTTCTTCACACTGCTATTGTGCTTTATAGTTGGTTCTTCCTTCTATACATAAAAAGGTTCTTGTTTAGAATAATGAACAGTATCAATTTCCCTGGAATTAAAAATTTTTCTTTCAGAGGAATAGCATAAAATAAGTAGTAGTAGAGTAATGGCCAGACTCTACTCTTGCAGAAGGATGACATTCCTTAGTCTCAATTAAATCAACAAATTTTCCCTTAAGTATGAAATCTGCTGCCATTCAGCTACCTTTCAGAACTTCTGGATTAATTTTTAAAACTATTTACAGATCATATCTTTGATTAAAATCTATGAATTCCTGTTGGCTCTAATCCTTCTGAAATCCCTCCAAATGGGCACATTTTGGAAATTGTCTGAAAACTGAAAAACAGTTTCTGCTTCATCCTACAGTTATTTCTGTGGATATGTGAGGGAAACTCACCTCTTTAATGCTGTTTATTTTCTAAAAATATATTGTGAAATGTCCTTCCTTAGTGAAGAAGTGTCTTAACATCACTCATTATCTTTACTACAGTCTTTGTTCTACAGAATATAAACTCACAATGTCAAAAGGAGGATTTTGACCTCTAATGACAAACTGGCTTCCAAGAGGGAGAAGTCCTCCTGTAATTCTTCAAACCACCCTCTTACCAGCTCACAAACCTGGAAGTGCTTATCCAGTGTACAGAAAACTCAGAGCAATCTCTAAAATCTCCTACTGATGTTTAAAAAAACGACTTAGTGAAGGAACCTCAAACGGGACCAAAGAAAAGAAAGAAAAACTGAATCTAAGCACCTCTGTTTATTTGCATTTGATGTTGAGATCAAGCACATAATCTTATCAACTGCTAAATGCCACCAGCTCCAGGATTTTCTAAGTGGTTTACCATTAATACGCTCTGTCTTTGACTCTGTGCCAAGGAATATAAGATTTCAGCAAAAAATACTTCCAAGTGTTACTTCCTGACTGGCACAAGTACAATATAACGAGCTATGGGTGATGAACTTGTAAAAACATCACAAGTGTGGGCTTCAGCAGCTCTGGTGATAGTAGCAGATTTCCATCAGTGGAGGATGTATGTTCACAGGACTGGAATTGGCATCTTTTTTCCGTCTTCTTCAGTGGCAGGGAATCAAATCCTGTGTTTCCTCACAAAAATATGAGCCATGCGTGGTGGGCAGAGCAGTTCTGAGGGATGTGGGGTTTGGAGAACCAGGTCGGTGCCAAATAAAGTTGTTCTGATGTGTAACATCGTGATAATAACAACATGTTACACGTTACAAGGGTGACACATGCCAAAAAGCAGATAAATACTCTTTCAAACTAAAGGATGCAGTATCAGATTGCATTATATGCATAATATAATTTAATAATCACATAAAATCCTGACCCTGTTACGTAAAATCCCTCAGCTTTGACAGACCCAACAAAATACAATATTACTGCAGAAAAAGCTCATTAAATCATGACAGGAGCTGGAATCAAAAAGAAATCTTTTACATTTGCCCCTACTCCTCTTTTTTTCCCACCCCTACCCCAGATTGTTCTTTTTGCCAGATGAGGATCCCGTGATATGACTGCTGAGATTCACTAGAACATTTCTAATAGTCTCAGAGGCTGGGGTTTGAAAAGTTTGAATGCTCTCAGGCACATGGTGGGATTATTGGGGTGTCCTGTGCAGGGCCAGGAGTTGGAATTGATGATCCTTGTGGGTCCCTTCCAGCTCAGGATATTCTATGATTTTGCGATCCTGTTTATGTACTAAAGATGGAAATCAAGATCATAGAGTGCTATTAGAATTTATTGTCTTTTATGATAGTTTGTGTCTGTTCACACAGTAGGAATTATATTTTCCATGTAAATCTGAAGATGTTAGCAATAAGTTTACAGCTCTCTGATGTATGGCCCTCTGTGAAAAAGTAAATTATATGTAAATATCCATGTTAATGAGACATTTGCTTACAAGAGGTGCTGGAGACAATCAAAGTAGTTAATGAGATCTTTGGAGAACCACCTGTTAGCCTTGCTTAAATTAGCTTTCTTATTGGAATTATTATTTCAACATCATTTGTCTTCCAAACACTGGGATAGCAGCGGATGCTGCAAACCAGCCCCGAGGAATGCAAGGAAATCCTCACACTGCAGAACAGGGAGTGTAGCCACAGTATAAATATCTCATAACATTGTGTTTGAAATTCAGTTACACCAGGTGGCTGTTTTTGTAGCAACACCACACAGAGATAAAAAATAGCCCCGTTTAAAAAGTCATTATAAGTTCATTGTGCTAGAAAACACTGATGTGCTGACACTGGGAGAGAGGGGGAAAGAAGCAGCAAGTCAAGTAATTTACCTTAGTTACTAAAATAGCTGAGTGATGGAGATTGTAAAGAGTTCACCACCAATAAATTGTCTGATCCTGCTTGGAAAAGCAGATTGGAAACGTGCAATTTGGAAGAGCAAAGAAAAGGATGACAAAAAAAAAATAAAAATTAAATGGAATAAAGGCCAGTGTGTACAATCTCCCTGCATTTGTAAACCATGATAACAGCCAGAAACTCCTGCTGGGGGAAATCTGCCCACGGAAATCAATGTGACTTGAGTGTGAAACTGCCCAGCAGGGTCCCCCCTGGCATGGACAGGGTGTCTCCACTGCCCTGTGACGTAGGGATGCCCGAGCAGGCTCTGGAAGAGGCAGCTCACACACTGCAAGCAGAAAGATACAGCTTCAAGTGGGCAATTTTGCTAATTTTTAGTATGTTAGAAATCAGTAATAATAATTTTAAAAAAATAGTTTTGAAGAATAAGATTTCGTGTGGGCCAGAATGAAGAAAAAAATATTACAAATAGGGGTCTTGCTAATGGATGGTCTTGGAAACAAAACAGAATCACAGAATCATTAAGGTTAGAAAAGCCCTCTAAGGTCATCAAGCCCAACCCTTAACACAGCACTGCCAAGCCCAACATTGAACCACATCCCCAGGTGCCACATCCACATGTTTTTGAACGTTTCCAGGGATGGTGATCCCACCACTTCCCTGGGCAGCCTGTTCCAATGCCTGACCACCCTTTCAGTGAAGAAATTTTTCATAATATCCAATCTAAACCTCTCCTGGAGCAACTATAGGCTGTTTCCAGAAAGCACAAATCCTGCCTTCCCTTCCCATCTATGCACTGCAACCTGCAGGCTGGAATTCAGTTTGGCAAACATTGTGGGATTCATCTCAGATAACATAAGTGGAGCACTAATGCTTGGTGTAAGTAAACAAGCACTTATGTCCTCTTTGTAGCATGGGCAGAAAAGTGCTTCAGCTTGCTTAGTTACCTCTTCTTTGATGGCTGGATGATCCCTTGGGAGCCAATATTCCTTGCTGCTGACTTTTGAGGAAACACAAAATGATCTTTCAACTACAGGATTAGTCCAGATTGGTTCAACTTCAGCTGGCTAAGTCTTACACTTTTGCCCTGTTCAGCCAAGCAAAGTTTCATCTGTAGTTCATGGAAAGAGTCTTTCTAGGCAGGGATAATCCCATTTTAAGGTGGCAGCCCAGGGGAATCACCCTGTAAGGTGGAGTTGCATCTCTCCACTGACTACACTCAGCAGGAGGAGGTTAAGAACTAGATTAATACATACAGCTGCCTTTTCAATGGGTGAAGTTTGTATTCCTTACAGGGTCTAGTTGGTGTTTTGGAGTAGACATGGACCAACTCTTCCCTCTGGACACAGTGGCTGCTTATGAAAACCCCCGTGATCAGTCCCTACATCTCTGTCTCAAGCTTCCTCTTGTAACAGTGAGGTAAAATTCATGTTTAAATTGTGAATTCCCTGTGACTGGATCCACCATGCACTTTTACTTCAAAAACCAGTCTGATTTCAGCTGAAGCACAATGTGGATTCTATATGGATTTCATGTGAAGCCCATGACATTCAAGTTTAAATTCAACATTGTTGAAGCTGAGGGAGGTGCCTCACATACTAAGGATGGATCTGACCTGGCAGCCACTGAAAAATAACAGCTCTTTCAAAAAAAAAGGCCATATTTCTTAACAAGGAGAAAACTTTTATGTTTTTTGTTTGTTTATTTGTTTGGGGTTTTTTTTGTTGTTTTTGTTGTTGTTGTTGTTGTTGTTTGTGTTTTGTTTGTTTTGTTTTTTTTTTAATTATTTATGATTGTAGAATTTTCTGATGAATTTTTAAAACTAAACCTAACACCAAAACCATTCTGGTCACTCTGCCTCCATGGAGATCCACACAAACCTTATTCCCATCTTTCATTTCCAATCAAATCTCTTGGAGGAAAACACTCTGTCTCTAACCTGCTACTCCTGGCAGCTGAAAAGCTCCCTCTTGCCTGAAGTTTCTGAATAAGCACCAAGAGATAAAAAAAAAAAAATAAAAAATAAAAAATTCAAAGCAAGCCATGCTGGCAGAAGAGCAGTGATAAACAGTTCTGCTGAAAAATTGCTTATGGTCCCTTATCTTCCTTTTCTCCTCTGTCTAGGGCTGTCTTGAGAGTCACAGTTTGATAGTGGGTAGATAAAAAACCCCAGATTTTAGGCAGCCCCATAGTTGAAGTTCACTGAGCTCAAGGAATGGACCTCGTTTTAAATCAACTGAGGATAAAGCCTGTTATCTTTCACCAACAGTCACTGTGTCACCAGGACTGTGTTCAAACACTTATTTTTTATAGATCTGTGTCCTGTTTTCTTATGGTGCCTCTACCATCGTACCCTCATTCATGATCTGTATTTAAATCCTCTTTGCAGTCTCCACAACATCCTCCTGTGTCCTTATCCTGCCCTGGTGAAAAATGCTTCCTCTCATCTCTGTCAAATTTTTGGCAAGAGGAGATGCAAAAGCAGAGGTGTGTTTTTTTAGATGGCAAGGCCATGTGTGGTAACTCACTGCTCACTCCTTCCCTGCTCCAAAGACAGTGGGTAACTCCTCCCTGACTCCTTCTCGGTGACAACTACTGCTTTGACATCTCTTTTATACTCAGCACAACATTTTCACAAAGCAGGGGAGTGAAAAAAAGTGGAATGACAGGACAATGGACAAAGGGATTTATGGATTCACAAGCAGACGAAAGTGAATGGACAAGAATTTGCATACAATTTGTTCCCTTGGCAAATCAAGGAAAAATGTAATTACACAAATGTTAGAGTTCTGTATTTTTTATGTAGGGAAATAAAGGCTTGAGATGAAAATCCATCCTTCTGGCTTTACAGTATTCAGTTTGATTTTCAGTTCCTCTGCTCATTTATTAGTTTAAAATATCACCTTCAAGGTCATATTGCCTTCAGGAGAGTAATATCAAAGGAAATGTAATGCTACAAGCCAGCATATTAAACTGAATTATGTGGTGCACAGTAACTTCTAAAGGGCATCCTACATATAAAGCCTTTCAGAGAGAGGGGGAATAGGAGATGGGTGCTCTCTGTTCCTTCATAAATCCTGCTAAATACCGAAATAAATAAGAGCTTAAGCGTGGCCTGGGTGTGGGGCTTGGATTTTCAAAAGTAATTGACATTTCAAAGTGCAGGTATCTTAGAGGAGTTCCTATTACAGGAATGGGGTTTCTGGAGGTGTTTGGGGTCAGGCAGCAAACTTGGAGCTCTGTCAGATTCAGCCACGTGTGTTCACAGCCCAGAGAGCCAAATTCTGGGCTGCACCAGATGCAGCGTGGGCAGCAGGGCAAGGGAGGGGATTCTCTCCCTCTACTTGGCTCTGATGAGATCCCACCTGGAGCACCACATCCAACTCTGGGGCTCCTAACACAGGAAAGATTTGGAAATGCTGGAATGAATTCAGAGACCAAGGAGATGCTCCCAGGGCTGGAGCTCCTCTGCTCTGGAGCCAGGCTGGGAGAGCTGGGGGGGTTCACCTGGAGAAGGCTCCAGGGAGACCTGAGAGCCCCTTCCAGGGCCTAAAGGGGCTCCAGGAGACTCTGGACAAGGGTCTGGAAGGACAGGACAAGAGTGAATGGCTTCCCACTGGCAGAGGGCAGGGTTAGATGGGATACTGGGAGGAAATTCTTCCCTGGGAGGGTGAGGAGGCCCTGGCACAGGTTGCCCAGAGAAGCTGTGGCTGTCCCATCCCTGGGAGGGTCCAAGGCCAGGCTGGATGGGGCTTGGAGCAACCTGGGCTAGTGGGAGGTGTCCCTGTCCATGGCAGGGGGTTGGAATGACATGACCTTTAAGGTCCCTTCCAACCAAACCATTCTATGATTCTATGATTCTATAGATTCTTTTGGAAGTCCAGACTGTAAGAGAGCAGAAATGCAACATCAGCTGAAGATCCAGAGTAAGCTACAAAAAAAGAAATACACTCAAAAATGGAGAAAAACACTAAAGGAAGACATTCTATATTGGAAAAGAGAATAGTTGATCATGCATAAGAAAAAAACCCAGACTTATTCCTTTAAATGTCACATATACAAAGCAGGCATGAAGGACTGAGAACAAGGGAAAGCTGAGCAGAGAGAAGGGAAAGGTTCTTTTTCCTTCCCACTTCTGCCCCTGATTAAGTCTGGAATTATTTGAACAAGGTGTATTCATGCTGTCATTGTTTCATTTATGCCAGTTATTACATTAAGAATTAACTTTTCTGTTCAAGTTTTGTTACTGGTGCACCGAGATGCTCTTGGTATTAATTGCCCTTAACAGGATGATTGTTATAAATGTAATTCCAAGAGAAGTTCCATGTTTCTTTTACAGTGCATGAATTAAAACAAACAACTGTGGGGGGCACTGCTAGAGGGTTTCTAATCCTCATAAAATCACAGAATCATGGAATGGCTTGGGTTGGAAGGGACCTTGAAGATCATCCAATTCCAACCCCCTGCCATGGGCAGGGACACCTTCCACTAGCCCAGGTTGCTCCAAGCCCCGTCCAACCTGGCCTTGGACACTTCCAGGGGTGGGATATTCACCACTACTCTGGGCAATTTAAGATAAGTTATCATCTGGAGATGTGTCTTTTCTTCCCTGATTAGAAAAGGCACCAAGAGAGAGCCCAAGTTTAGTCTTAAAACAGCTGGAATTAGAAGAATTCCACATGTATAGTCCAAGTGACTCTGTTGGAGTGGTGTGTGAAGAACAATAAACTGGGATCAAACTCACCAGCAAGTTGATCCACCACAACATTTTCCATCCCCTTTCTTTAAATAACTGCTGTCCCCATATGAAGTTACTCAACACTATATTAATCATTATTTATGATTATTTAGAATCCATTGTTTATGTAATGATACTTAAAATAGCACTTTCTACTGGTACAGCATTATCAGCAAAGTGAATTGTTTTATGGGATGACATCTTCAGATGTACTAAGTGCAGCACTGTTTGCAAAAACTATTAAAAATATCAGCTTAATTTATGAAAGAGAACATCAGAAACATTATTTGAGATATTTCACTTCTAATGCACCAAGTTAATCATAGATTATATTAAAAACTAAAAGGGGAAGTACCCAAAACCCTGAGGTTTTGGAATGGAATGATGGATTTTCAAGCATATTATTTTTATAGATAAACATCACACAATTATAATAATATTATTTAATTATAAATTTAATATATGTATTACTATAAATAGACAGTTATTGCATATTATTTCCTAAATACTTATAATATTATATAAATAGTAATCGTATGTATTGAATCATACTTATACATTATGGTTTTATATTATATTTTTATATATTATATATTTATATATTGCAGCTATACTTATAAGTATTATAAAACATTTTAAAAAATATAACAACTTTATGAAATATGCTGCATTTTATAGCATTTTTTTTCCTTGAAGACTTGATAAAAGGGCAAAGATCAGCTTTTAAATTACAGCAGCTGCTATTTATAATTGGAGAGGTGTAAACTCTTCTTCTCCTTTTAAAGCTGTTTAGCTCTTTACAGTCACAGGATATTTATTTCTAAGCTCACACTCACTGCTGTTCTTGCATTGATACCTGCCAAGAAAACCTCATCCAAGAAAACCTCCAGAATCCTTTAAGTGCTGCCAGCCAATTGGCCTTAGGTGAGCTTTGAAGAGTTTTAAAGGGGAAAACTTCAACTTGGCAAAATCTGGGAACATTTCTTTGTCTAATTATGCACCAGAGTAAAAAGCCAACGAGCTGTGAAATTGAGAAGGGTTGTTGCTTTTTTAGACTTTCTTTAAAAAACAATAAAAAAAAGTTTGGCTGTTCCTCCCTGAGAAAGTCACCACTTTGATGTTCTGGAGGCAGAGAGGCTCTGTGGGATTACTGAGAAAACTGGGAGATTTGACTCCAACACTGCTGGAGGATGGGATGACACTCACAAGCTGCCAGAAGCTGAGCCAGTGCCAAGCTCACCAGCTGCAGATAATCTGGCATT